GAAAACAGGAAATACCTGATGGTTCTCCGTGTGGAGAGGGAGCTGTCGCACCTTTTCAGCCGGAGAGCAAAAGGAGCGGAGGAAGGGGGGGAAGAGAGGGGGGAAGGGCGGGAAAACAGGACATACCTGATGGTTCTCCGTGTGAGAGGGAGCTGTCGCACCTTTTCAGCCGGAGAGCAAAAGGAGCGGAGAAGGGGGGGAAGAGAGGGGGAAGGGCGGGAAAACAGGACATACCTGATGGTTCTCCGTGTGGAGAGGGAGCTGTCGCACCTTTTCAGCCGGAGAGCAAAAGGAGCGGAGAAGGGGGGGAAGAGAGGGGGGAAGGGCGGGAAAACAGGACATACCTGATGGTTCTCCGTGTGGAGAGGGAGCTGTCGCACCTTTTCAGCCGGAGAGCAAAAGGAGCGGGAGCGGAGAAGGGGGGGAAGAGAGGGGGGGAAGGGCGGGAAAACAGGACATACCTGATGGTTCTCCGTGTGGAGAGGGAGCTGTCGCACCTTTTCAGCCGGAGAGCAAAAGGAGCGGAGAAGGGGGGGAAGGGGAAGAGAGGGGGAAGGGCGGGAAAACAGGACATACCTGATGGTTCTCCGTGTGGAGAGGGAGCTGTCGCACCTTTTCAGCCGGAGAGCAAAAGGAGCGGAGAAGGGGGGGAAGAGAGGGGGGAAGGGCGGGAAAACAGGACATACCTGATGGTTCTCCGTGTGGAGAGGGAGCTGTTGCACCTTTTCAGCCGGAGAGCAAAAGGAGCGGAGAAGGGGGGAAGAAGGGGGGGAGAGGGGGGAAGGGCGGAAAACAGGAAATACCTGATGGTTCTCCGTGTGGAGAGGGAGCTGTTGCACCTTTTCAGCCGGAGAGCAAAAGGAGCGGAGAAGGGGGGGAAGAGAGGGGGGAAGGGCGGGAAAACAGGAAATACCTGATGGTTCTCCGTGTGGAGAGGGAGCTGTCGCACCTTTTCAGCCGGAGAGCAAAAGGAGCGGAGAGAGTGGAAAGGGCTTTGCGCCTTTCCAATCGAAGCTCACCTGATGGTTCTCCATGGTCAGGGGGTGTTGCACCCAGATACGGAGAGGCGCGCGGAGAGAGAAAGAGGTGGAGTGGGGGGAGGAGCGGGACGAGTGCGGGGGAGGACAGCGGAAAACCGGAACCCACCTGATGGTTCCCATGGTGAGGAGCTGTTGCACCTTTTCAGCCGGAGAGCAAAAGGAGCGGAGAAGGGGGGGAAGAGAGGGGGGAAGGGCGGGAAAACAGGACATACCTGATGGTTCTCCGTGTGGAGAGGGAGCTGTTGCACCTTTTCAGCCGGAGAGCAAAAGGAGCGGAGAAGGGGGGGAAGAGAGGGGGGAAGGGCGGGGGGAAAACAGGACATACCTGATGGTTCTCCGTGTGGAGAGGGAGCTGTCGCACCTTTTCAGCCGGAGAGCAAAGGAGCGGAGAAGGGGGGGAAGAGAGGGGGGAAGGGCGGGAAAACAGGACATACCTGATGGTTCTCCGTGTGGAGAGGGAGCTGTCGCACCTTTTCAGCCGGAGAGCAAAAGGAGCGGAGAAGGGGGGGAAGAGAGGGGGGAAGGGCGGGAAAACAGGACATACCTGATGGTTCTCCGTGTGGAGAGGGAGCTGTCGCACCTTTTCAGCCGGAGAGCAAAAGGAGCGGGAGAAGGGGGGGAAGAGAGGGGGGAAGGGCGGGAAAACAGGACATACCTGATGGTTCTCCGTGTGGAGAGGGAGCTGTCGCACCTTTTCAGCCGGAGAGCAAAAGGAGCGGAGAAGGGGGGGAAGAGAGGGGGGAAGGGCGGGAAAACAGGACATACCTGATGGTTCTCCGTGTGGAGAGGGAGCTGTCGCACCTTTTCAGCCGGAGAGCAAAAGGAGCGGAGAAGGGGGGGAAGAGAGGGGGGAAGGGCGGGAAAACAGGACATACCTGATGGTTCTCCGTGTGGAGAGGGAGCTGTCGCACCTTTTCAGCCGGAGAGCAAAAGGAGCGGAGAAGGGGGGGAAGAGAGGGGGGAAGGGCGGGAAAACAGGACATACCTGATGGTTCTCCGTGTGGAGAGGGAGCTGTTGCACCTTTTCAGCCGGAGAGCAAAAGGAGCGGAGAAGGGGGGGGAAGAGAGGGGGGAAGGGCGGGAAAACAGGAAATACCTGATGGTTCTCCGTGTGGAGAGGGAGCTGTTGCACCTTTTCAGCCGGAGAGCAAAAGGAGCGGAGAAGGGGGGGAAGAGAGGGGGGAAGGGCGGGAAAACAGGAAATACCTGATGGTTCTCCGTGTGGAGAGGGAGCTGTCGCACCTTTTCAGCCGGAGAGCAAAAGGAGCGGAGAGAGTGGAAAGGGCTTTGCGCCTTTCCAATCGAAGCTCACCTGATGGTTCTCCATGGTCAGGGGGTGTTGCACCCAGATACGGAGAGGCGCGCGGAGAGAAAGAGGTGGAGTGGGGGGAGGAGCGGGACGAGTGCGGGGGAGGACAGCGGAAAACCGGAACCCACCTGATGGTTCCCATGGTGAGGAGCTGTTGCACCTTTTCAGCCGGAGAGCAAAAGGAGCGGAGAAGGGGGGGAAGAGAGGGGGGAAGGGCGGGAAAACAGGACATACCTGATGGTTCTCCGTGTGGAGAGGGAGCTGTTGCACCTTTTCAGCCGGAGAGCAAAAGGAGCGGAGAAGGGGGGGAAGAGAGGGGGGAAGGGCGGGAAAACAGGACATACCTGATGGTTCTCCGTGTGGAGAGGGAGCTGTTGCACCTTTTCAGCCGGAGAGCAAAAGGAGCGGAGAAGGGGGGAAGAGAGGGGGGAAGGGCGGGAAAACAGGACATACCTGATGGTTCTCCGTGTGGAGAGGGAGCTGTTGCACCTTTTCAGCCGGAGAGCAAAAGGAGCGGAGAAGGGGGGGAAGAGAGGGGGGAAGGGCGGGAAAACAGGAAATACCTGATGGTTCTCCGTGTGGAGAGGGAGCTGTTGCACCTTTTCAGCCGGAGAGCAAAAGGAGCGGAGAAGGGGGGGAAGAGAGGGGGGAAGGGCGGGAAAACAGGAAATACCTGATGGTTCTCCGTGTGGAGAGGGAGCTGTCGCACCTTTTCAGCCGGAGAGCAAAAGGAGCGAGAGAGAGTGGAAAGGGCTTTGCGCCTTTCCAATCGAAGCTCACCTGATGGTTCTCCATGGTCAGGGGGTGTTGCACCCAGATACGGAGAGGCGCGCGGAGAGAAAGAGGTGGAGTGGGGGGAGGAGCGGGACGAGTGCGGGGGAGGACAGCGGAAAACCGGAACCCACCTGATGGTTCCCATGGTGAGGAGCTGTTGCACCTTTTCAGCCGGAGAGCAAAAGGAGCGGAGAAGGGGGGGAAGAGAGGGGGGAAGGGCGGGAAAACAGGACATACCTGATGGTTCTCCGTGTGGAGAGGGAGCTGTTGCACCTTTTCAGCCGGAGAGCAAAAGGAGCGGAGAAAGGGGGGGAAGAGAGGGGGGAAGGGCGGGAAAACAGGACATACCTGATGGTTCTCCGTGTGGAGAGGGAGCTGTTGCACCTTTTCAGCCGGAGAGCAAAAGGAGCGGAGAAGGGGGGGAAGAGAGGGGGGAAGGGCGGGAAAACAGGACATACCTGATGGTTCTCCGTGTGGAGAGGGAGCTGTCGCACCTTTTCAGCCGGAGAGCAAAAGGAGCGGAGAAGGGGGGGAAGAGAGGGGGGAAGGGCGGGAAAACAGGACATACCTGATGGTTCTCCGTGTGGAGAGGGAGCTGTCGCACCTTTTCAGCCGGAGAGCAAAAGGAGCGGAGAAGGGGGGAAGAGAGAGGGGGGAAGGGCGGGAAAACAGGACATACCTGATGGTTCTCCGTGTGGAGAGGGAGCTGTCGCACCTTTTCAGCCGGAGAGCAAAAGGAGCGGAGAGAGTGGAAAGGGCTTTGCGCCTTTCCAATCGAAGCTCACCTGATGGTTCTCCATGGTCAGGGGGTGTTGCACCCAGATACGGAGAGGCGCGCGGAGAGAAAGAGGTGGAGTGGGGGGAGGAGCGGGACGAGTGCGGGGGAGGACAGCGGAAAACCGGAACCCACCTGATGGTTCCCATGGTGAGGAGCTGTTGCACCTTTCCAGCCAGAGAGCGAGAGGTGGGGAGATAGTGGGGAAGGGCGGGACAATCGCAAGTTACCTGATGGTTCTCCATGGTGAGAGGGAGCTCTTGCACCTTCTGAGCCAAATCCGGAGACATCCTGAGGGTGGGGGAGAAGGGGGGGGGGGGCGAGAGAGAGAGGGGGAAGAGAGAGAGGGGGCGCGGTGAAACGAAGGGACTTTCCACCTTACTCGTTATAAGCAGACTCAATGGGAGAAGCAGCTCCTGCGGTGCACTTATTCGCGTTTCAGACCGTACTCGTTATAAGCGGCCTCACCAGGAGAAGTAGCTTCGGCGGTGCACCCAGTTGCATGTTCAGACCGTACTCGCTATAAGCAGCCTCACCAGGAGAAGTAGCTTCGGCGGTGCACCTAATTGCCCACGAATTTGAGCGGAGAGGCCAGATCCAACGCGCTGAATCGCCGCAGTTCCAGCAGGTCCGGATCCTGAGGGTCAACGCGGGTCAACGCAAGTCAACGCAGGTCAATGTGGGTCGACCAGAGAAGGCTCAACTAAAGGATGAGGGTTTGAATCCAAGGCGCCGAACCGCCTCAATCCAGCAGGTACGGGACCTGGGGGTCAACGCGGGTCAATGCAAGTCAACGCAGGTCAATGTGGGTCAATGAGAGAAGGCTCAACTAAAGGAAGAGGGTTTGAATCCAAGGCGCTGAACCGCCTCAGTTCCAGCAGGTCTGGATCCTGAGGGTCAACAGGAAGTCAATGGGAAGTCAACGGGAAGTCAACGGGAAGTCAACGGGAAGTCAACGGGAAGTCAACGGGAGTCAACTAGAAGATTGTGGAGTCATACTGGGATATAAATTCCAATCCAATGCGCTGACCCGCCTCAGCCCCGGCAGGTCCGGGTCCCGCGAGTCAACAAGAGTCAACGAGGGTCAGCGAGGGTCAATGTGGGTCAATGTGAGTTCAATGAGAGTCGTTGATGGTCAGCAAGGGTGAGTGTGAGGGTCAACTGTGCTAGTCAGTGAGGGTCAATACTGCTCAATGCTGGTCAACGTGGGCCAATGCTGGTCAATGCCGGTCAAAGTGGGTCAAGCTCTATGGCGGTCAACACGGGACAATTCGGGCCAATGCTGGTCAATGCGGGTCAAGGCTGGTCAAAACCGGTCAACGCTGGTCAATGCTGGTCAAACTCTGTGCCGGTCAATGCTGGTCAGTGAGAGTCAAAGATGGAAGAACGTGGAGGGAGGGGGGGTGTGAGTGGACAAAACGGTTGGGAGGGAGGGGGGGAGGAGGTAAGGGATGGGAAGACGGAAAGGAGAAGTGGGGAAGGGGAGCGATGGAAGAACGTGGAGGGAGGGGGGGTGTGATTGGACGAAACGGCTGGGAGGAATCGGGGGAGGAGTTATCATGCGGAAGGCGGGAAGGAGAACGAGGGGGGGGAAGAAAAGGGGAAAAGAGGCTGGGACCAGCATTGGCCCGCATGCGGACGGCCAGGGACGTGTCAGGAAGAATCTGGAGCTGATTTTCTTTTTTTTTTTTTTTAAATTGTTCGAAGAGCGTTGACATTAGGAGCTGAGGTCGAATCCCCATGCAAATTGCCAGCAACCCGATACAAGCATACCTCGCTAATAACAATCGCCATGGCTTCGAACCCCATGCACGTGGCCTGCACGGGGAAGTAGTCGCCTTGATCGTTCGCCTCCTTGGCCCACTGCACATTGGAAACAGTTGAATGAGTAAAACGGCGTAACATTAGGCATTCAAGGCTTCGAACCCCATGCACGTGGCCTGCACTGGAAATTGGTCGCCTTGATCGTTCGCCTCCTTGGCCGACTGCACATGGGAAAAGGTTGATGGGTTAAACGGTTATTTCAAGGGTTTTCAGAGGGTTCCTTTTTCCAACGGTTATTTCCACGTGGCTTGCACGGGGAAGTAGTCGCCCCGATCGTTCGCCTCCTTGGCCCACTACACATGGGAAAAGGATCAAAGGAGGTGAACGGTTATCCCAACGTCTCTTTCAACGGTTTTTGGTTCCAAGAGATACTTCTGATTCGATTTAAAAGGCACGGGTAAGCAGTCACCCCGATTGGTCGCCTCCTTGGCCCACTGCACATGAGAAAAGGAGTAAAACGGTTATTCCGACGGACATTGCTGATGCATTTTCGTAGTGGGGGTTATAGCTGTAATTGAAGGCTTTCAAGGCACTACCTGGCTTGCAGAGACGCTCATGTGCACCTATAAAGGAAACGCCTGATAAGCAACACAGAAACGCCTATACGCCTGATAGGAAACGCCTATACGCTGGCTGTACAGTAATCACCGAAGCAGTTATGTCGCAAAATAGAAGTACTGTACCTGTAGAAGCAGTTGCACTGTAGACATGAAAGGCCCCGGCACCAGATCGGTCCCGCCGCCGGGAATCAGCAGACCGTTGATCATATTGAATTTCTGATGACGAGAACGTGACAGTATGGAGAGGCACGACGAGGGAAAACCGGGAAAAGGGATTTCTGAGTGTTATTGATTGCTTCATATCAAAGCGAAAAGTAATATGCCCTTCGGGCTAGTTTGGTCATGTTGAAGGTGGTTAGCTAACCACGACCTAGAACGACCTAACGCGATCTACATCGACCTAAGAAGAATCCGGCTTGACGAGATGAGACTAAGGGAAAGCGAAGACCTAAGAAGAAGATGAGCTACCTATGTTGGGGCGGTGGAAGGAGAAACAAGGCAGAGACTAGACCTGCGATGGGAAATGAAGAGAAGGAGAGGAAGCGTGCTGAAATGGAGAAGAACACAGCTGAAATGTCGAGATATCAAGTGACGTGATGAGAAGTCACGCCGGGTCAAAGGCGCGTCCAAGGAAGTCTGAAATTCGAACTCGAGGCGCGTTCGGTGCATGGTTGGATTTGGGAATTGAGCCGAGTACAACTCAGCTCGATATTAGGCGCGGCGCGAGGGCGAAATCAGAAATCCTTTTGCTTATAACTTGCTTTGTGTTTTCTGTTTTTGTATGCCTTCTTCAATGAAATTACTTGAACTTTCTGCCTTGGCGTTTTTTCCAGCAAATTCCTTCACATAGTTGAAGCCAGAGCTTCTTATGCATACTACTAAGACTCTAAATAGTCTTCATAGTCTAGACTAAAGGCTGCGCACGTACAAGAGCTGGTATCAGAGCTGGTTTAAGGCGCGTTCTAGCGTTTTAAGGATAGGCGGAATTGTCTGAGTATGACGGGCGATCATACAGAGGCGAGTTCGGGCTCCTCTGTGAGCATTGGAGGCTCAGAACTACAGGCCATCCTAGCGGCGCTAGCACAAGCTAAATTGACGGCGAAGCCAACGATTGGGCTTAGCGAGGCCCAACGATTCAATGGCGAAAGCTATAGCACGTGGCGACTCAAGTTCATTCGTAGAGCGGAGGAAGTGGATCTCTGGCCGTACTATCATCCCGACAAGGAGACGGGAGAGGGCGTCCCACCATCTGCAAAAGAAAAACCAGAGGAAAATGCGTCGTTCAAAAAAAGGAGTAAGCAAGCATTTTTTCAATTATGTCATTCGGTTTCGGATAACATTGCAGTGGGGCTGGATCAATTTGCGGGAGAGGAGAACTCTGCCGAACGAGCCTGGGAGTACATAGAAGAGCTGCCTACCTTGGGCTTACGGATACGAACAAAGCAGCCATTCGGAAGAAACTCCTTCTATTGAGTATGGAGCCAGGGGAGAGGGTCATTGACTACATGAATCGAGCAAAGGGGTACAATGACGACCTCAAGGCTATGGGGGCAGCTGAAACTGAAGGAGAAATGATGGGGTACATCATTACTGGGCTGCCCAAGGAGTGGGAAGCAGAGATAGGGCTCCTAACCTGCAACCCACCCACAAATATGACCAAGCTGTTAGAGACGCTCCAAGCTCTGGAGCGGGTGAAAGCTGATCGGCTCAGGAAGGAGATTAGCTTGAACGGAATGGGACCAGCCACCCATGCTATGGTAAACGCAGCAGCGACAGGGAAAGGATACGGAGGTTTTGGGGTGTGTTTTCAGTGTGGGAAGAAGGGTCATAAGCAGATAGACTGCTATGACAACCCGAGGAGCAGAAATTTCAAGGGAAAGTGGAGCGGTCTCCAGCAGAAGGGCTTGCAAAATGGAGGGCAGCAGAAAGAGGGGGAGTTTCGAGGCGATAACAAGGTGCAGAGAGGCGGATTTTCAGGGGCATGTCACTATTGCCAGAAAATTGGGCATAGGGCAGCCAACTGCTACTCGAACCCCAACAGCAGGAACTACCGAGGGGCAAACCAGCAGCAAAACCAACCAGCAGCAGCAAAAGCAAATGCAGTGGAAGCTGAAAACAGTGAAGCGGACGTTATTTTGGGAGGAGCTCACAAGGCAAACGTGGCTAGGGCATCGGGAGTGTGTTTGATGGCAAAGGGGTTTGGTGAAGCTGCGTGGTTCATGGATAGTGGCTGCACGCAGCATATGACCAATCACCGTGAATGGCTTACAAATCTGAGGGACTCCAACGTACCCTATGTGCTGTTGGGTGATGAAGGAAAACTGAGTGTGAAGGGAGAAGGAGAGTTGCTGCTCCAGGGAGAGTATGGGGAGGTGGTTGTGCAAGGGGAAGCTGTGGGTTTTTTATGAAAATTGGAAGGTGGTTGCAGAAGGGAACAGAAATCAGGGATTGTATGAAATGAAGCTGAGGAAGAAGGGGCTGGAAGCAGAGAATGCCACCTACATGACTCCACTCGAAGGGGACCTAGCCAGGGAGGAGTTGAAGGCTCGGCTTGGTGGCTTACCTGTGAAGGAGCTGCAGCAGGAAGCTTCAGCCATGGTGGTTGGGGTGGAGAAGGTTGAATTGGAGACCTTGCATAGGCGCATGGGGCATGCAAGCGTGGATAGGATCAAGGAGTTGGTTAAAAAGGGCATGGTAAAAGGAGTGACATTGAAGGAGGGGGCTGGAAGCAAGGGAAAATGCAGCAAGTGTGTTGAAGGTAAAATCACAAAATCCCCACACCCCCACCACCAGGTGCAGGAGCCTTATGGCACCTTGGACATCGTAGCAGCCGATGTGTGTGGGCCTATGAGGGTGGCATCACGACACGGCAGCCGCTACTTCGTTACCTTCACTGATTTGGGAACGAGGCACACATGGGTGACGGAGCTGAAAGATAAGGCAGAGGTGTTTCCTAGCTTCGTGACTTGGATGGCGGAAGCGGAGCGACAAAGTGGGAAGGTGCTGAAAGTTTTGAGGACAGATAATGGTGGGGAGTTTACCGGGGACCTGTTTAACAAGTTTTTACAGAGTAAGGGCATCCGACGGCAGCTGACTGTACCCTACACTCCACAGCATAATAGTATAGCGGAGCGGGTGAATCGTTCTCTGCTAGACAGTGTGAGGAGCATGCTGGCTGACAGTGGGCTGCCACTGAAATTCTGGGGTGATGCATTAGCAATGGCCTGCTGGACCAAGAACCGGTTGCCTACCAAGGGACTTCGGGCAGATGTGACTCCTCACGAGGCATTCTATGGGAGGAAGCCGAATCTGGGGCTTGCACGGGTGTGGGGGAGTATGGTACAATACAGGGAGCCTGCTGGTCCGGATCATAAGTTGCTGCCAAGGACTCAATGGGGGATCAATCTTGGTACCTGCCCAGTGAGCAAGGGGTGGGTGATCAAGGATGTGGTTTCGGGGAAGGTCACAATCACCCGGGATGTTATTTTCTACGAGGAGGTGAGCTACCTGCAGTGGAAGGGGGTAGAGAAAGAGATTGCAGCAGCAGGGACAGCAACTACATCGGACAAGGTAGAGGATCTCTTGGAAGAAAAGGAGAGTGAGGGAGTTGGTGATGAAAAGGATGAGGAGATCGAAGATGTGGAACGGGCAGATTCAGTTGATTGGGTGTGGGAGAAGGCACCAGCCAGGGAAGCGGATGAAAACAAGGGAGTGGAGATAGCAGGGGAGCAGCCAAGCAAGGAAGTAGCTGAGGGTGTCAACGATGAAGTGGCTAGAGAAGAGAGAGATGAAGAATCAGCAGCTGAAGGAAGTAGCGATCCCTGGAAGTTCCTGAATAGTGGTGACAACCAGGCAGCAGAGAAGGAGATAGAGGACTTACTTGAGGAGGGCGCCATCGTGATTGGAAGGGAAGTAAAGGATGGAGAAGGGAAAGCATTGACGGATTCCAGTGAGGAAGAGGTCGAATCATCTGCAGAGGAGTTGGGGAAAGGAAAGAGGGTGAAGAAACCAAACCCTCGGTATGCGCAACTGCTGATGACGTGCTGGAAGGACATCCATACCCATCTCCTACTCTCTGCCACAGCAACTGACCTAGTCTCCAATGAAGGGAAAGTGAGTCACAACCTGCCCAAAGAACCAGTGATCATCGAGGAGGCGCTCGAGGGTCCAGAAAGGGAGCAGTGGAAAGCGGCAATTGAGGAGGAGTTGAACACATTGGCTGAAAGGGGCACATGGGAACTCGTGCCTATGCCGGAAGGGAGGAAAGCCGTGGGGGTGAAGTGGATTTTTAAAATCAAGACCGGAGATATGGGGCAGCTGGAAAGGTTCAAAGCAAGGCTTGTAGCCAAGGGCTACACTCAGGTGGAGGGGAAAGATTACCAACAAAATGAGATCTACGCTCCAGTGAGCAAGTTGGCAACGGCGCGGGTCTTTCTCAAGGTGGTAGCAGCAAGAAAATACTTCATGGTGCAGCTGGATATTAAAAACGCGTTTTTGTATGGGGTGTTGAAGGAGGACATCTACCTCGAACAACCACCAGGGCATGATGACGGCTCAGGCAGGAAATGCAAGCTCAAGAAGGCTCTATACGGGCTGAAGCAAAGTCCTAGGGAGTGGTACATGGCGATGGATGAGCGGCTACTGCAAGGGGGATTTCATAAAAGTGAGTGTGATACAGCATTCTACTGGAAGGGAGAAGGGAAAGAGAAGGTGTTTTTGGTGCTATACGTGGACGACATCTTGGTGGCAGGGGCGTTAGAGGAGGAGGTAGAGAAGGTGTGCACTCACCTTGCGGAAGTTTTTCAAGTCAAGCAGATTCCGAGGACCACACTCTTTCTCGGCATGAATCTGGAGCGGCGTAAGGAGGAGAAGAAGATGTTCCTATACCAGCAGAAATATTGCAGCAGGGTGCAGCAGAAGTTTGGCAACGGCTACACGAAGGCGATTTCTACACCATTGAGTGGGGTAGCTGAAAATGACAGTGAGCGGGAGGAAGATGTCAACCAATGGGGCAGCAAGGAGAGAGCTCGGCAAGTATATCAGTCCATGGTGGGGTCCATAATGTATCCGGTCTCATGCACGCGCGTTGACATGGCATACGCAGCTAGCTACCTTGGGCAACAAGTGCAGCAACAAGGGGAGAGAAAATGGAGAGAGATGAGGAGGACTATCGACTACCTACTGCAACATGAAGATGAGGGGCTGTTATTCGAAGGAGGTGAAGAGACCTTGGAGTTAGTGGGGTATGCGGATGCTTCACACGCATCCGACAGGCAAACAAGGAAGGGAGCATACGGTTACGTGTTTCTGCTCGGCGGGACAGCAATCATGTGGCAAGCGAAAAAGTTGAGTGACATAGCGCTCTCTAGTGCGGAAGCGGAGTACATGGCTCTGTTTTACGCATGCCAAGAGGGGGTTTGGCTGAGACGGCTACTCAAGGAGATGGAAATCAAGGTGAAAGGGCCGACGGTGATACGCACGGATAGCAAATCTGCCATCGACTTGGCTCACAACGACAATTGGCACGGGAGGACCAAGCATATGGATGTGAAGTATCATTGGGTGCGTTCAAAGGTGAGTAGCAAGGAGTTCAAGTTTGAATTCGTACGTACGGAGGCACAAGCAGCAGATTTTCTGACTAAGGTGTTACCAAGGGCAAATTTTGAGCG